TGTGTGTGTGTGTGTTTGTTTGTATGTGTGTGTGTGTGTGTGTGTGTGTGTGTGTTTGTGTGTGTGTGTGTGTGTGTGTGTGTGTGTGTGTGTGTGTGTGTTTGTTTGTATGTATGTGTGTGTGTGTGTGTGTGTATGTGTATGTGTGTGTGTATGTGTGTGTGTGAATGTATTTCTTATTTACATTTCTTATTTACATATTACTGTTCACAGATATGGTCTTTCGAAAGCTGTAAAATACATTTCTGACATAAAAAATCTGTAAAATACATTTCTGACATTAACAGTCTGAGTGAAAACTAAACTAATTCATACAATGAGGTAATTTTTCTTACTTTCAAAATGTGTCTATCACGCAAATGACCACCATCATTATAAAAAATGTGATCACTAGCCTTTGCAAGGCACAGAGTAAGCCTTCTCAGGAAAAAAATGGAGGTCAGAACTGAAAAATAACAAGGAAATATATCTAGAGCATAATGGTATTGTTAGTGTAGTTCAATGAAGTTGACTTTGACACATCCCTATTTATTTAAACTGTTTTATTTATCAAGTGAAAAAGATTTTTTCTGTTGACTACAAAGGACTTATATAGAACATCCTAAAAAAGTATATACAGTACCTCCAGTGCCTGGAGCCATACAATGTAAAAATCTTTAAAATGTGGGTGCATATCCATCCCCAGGAGCCACAGGTGCTGCGTACAGCCACTGATAGAAATCGATGGCTGCATGACACTGTACATGAGTATACGCCGATACTTGCACAAACATGCATATGCACAGGGGTATACAACCCCAAATGCAGGCAACCTGCATTACATAAGTACCGTTGCATACCCACATACGTCTGCATAGGGTCACTGATTTCTGTGGGCAGCTTTATGCAACATATGTGACTCCAATTTTTGCATTGTATGGCTCTAGGCACCCATGTGCATGAGTCTTAAAGCACACTGTATTATTATTATTACCAGATCATAAAAAAACAAAGAAATTCAAATGTTTCTGTTCTGTGAAGTCTGAATATTTATAAAATTGTAAAATTTTTCCAAAAATAAGTTCTATGGCAAGTTAGTTGTATTAAATACTATTACATTTTTTTTAAATGTGCTCTGTTTATTGTGTTACTTCGAATTTCTTTTGAATTTTTTAATGTAATGTAGATTAAGGGTGTATGATCTTTTGATTTTATCTTTAGAGTTCATAAACTTCAATTAGCAGTACAAAGAAAAAATGTTTTATTGTATACAGAGTATTTTTTTTTTATCAGGCTGTCATGTACGGTAATGCTTCTGAATTTGGTTTGTTAAATTATTTTAAGCGCTTTGTGATAGGGTAAATCTCAACACTGCTTTTAGTGCTAAAATTTACATCATCCTAAAGTGCAAAACAGTGTGATGGACTTTTAAAGGGTCTACCAATGATTTGAATCTTTTCCTATTAATTAAAACATTAAACATTAAAAGGTTGAATGTGAATTATAGAGAGTTTGTCAAAAGTGAAAGTTTACTTTGGTACTTTTACAGGTGATTCTAGCCCAAAATGGCAGTATATGGTGAGGAAGGGCTGTAAGGGTTAGATCCTCTGTGATATTTTTACTGCTGGAGATGTTTAAATGAAAGGCACTGGTGCTTATATTACTCCTAAATTAAGGTTTTGGAGTAAAGTCTCTTTGTCATTGTAGCGGTACAATGGCTCAGTTTAGGCTGCCCTCAACTATGAGACAGCCAGCTTGTACGTCTGGGAAGAAGTCCCAGAAAAATAGATGAATAAAAATGACACACCAAAGGATTAGTCTGAATATATTTATTCCATGAACTGTATCCAAAATGATATGCCAAGGCATGTCAGGTGTCAGACTGTACCAACGTCACCAGGGAACACATCTAGTCACTGTTAATTTAATCTCCCTCTAAATCAGCAATTCTCAATCTTTTTTAGTCATGGGACCATTTAAAAATTATCCAAAATCTTGCGGCACCCCAGTCTTAAGTGTGTACAAACTTAGATTTAAAAATGGAAAAAAAGAACCCTCTTCACATCAGGCATCCCCTCTTTTCACATTGGGGCTCTTTCTTCACATCACAACCCCCCTCACAGCAGGAGTCCCCCCTTTCACATCAGAGTTCTCCCCTCACATCAAGAGCCCCTTTCACATCAGAAAACTTCTTCCACCATGGAAAAAAATGACAGGGTGCAAACATTTTGAGGCATCCTGGAAGAAGCCAGAAGGCACTCCAGGGTGCCAAGACACCCATGTTGAGAATCTCTGCTCTAAACCATCAGCTGCTAAAGTCATTATATTAAGACCAATTAATACATTTGTTTCTTGATAAAGGGGGTACAGGCCTGGCTCCCGAAACATGGTGTCTTGCTATATTGAATACATGTAATAAATACTTTGGACTCTGGCTCTTTTGATGTTGTGCTCTTATTCATCTATTTTTTTCAACATTTTTATTGCTGTCTGTGGTCTGGTTAGAGGGCATTTGCCTAAAGCCTTGATACTAGAATTATCTGGCAGGGACACTGTAATAAAAAAAAACAGTTGTGTCTGCATGGTAAAGCAGCCCTCATGCCTGGTCCCAAAGACCACCATGTTGCAAGCCCAAAGCTTAGGAAATCTTGTAACAATACTATGTCTGAAGTTATCAATACAGTTTTGAGAAACTGCTTGTAACAGAAAAACAATGTCTTAAGTAGTAAACCACCTGACTAATTCCAAGTGTAAAGTTGGAATTAACTTTGTCAATTTTTAAACTTGTGAAATTAAAGCTTTCTTAAGGTGCCCAAACACTTTACAACCCTCGCAAGACTTTTGTCTTGCGAGGGTTGTAAAGTGCTTAAAAAAACGTACGATCTCCTCATCTTGGACAGGCAGATCGTACTTGCAATCATCGCAAGCCCGCCCCCATTAGGGGCAGGCTTGTGATGACTGCAATGAGGGGCGGGCTTCCGATTACTGCAAACGGGCAGTGTGCACATGCGCACACCAGCCCGTTCGGCAGTTGTCGATCAAGCAGGCCACTAACTCGCCGAGAATCGTACGATTCCCGGCGGGTTTTCCAGCCTGCTTGTTCGATGGAAGACGTGCGACCGTACAGTTCAAACGGTCGCATGCCTTCCATACACTGCACGATTCTCGTACAATCGCGGGATTTCCCGCGATTCTCGTACGAGAATCGTGCAGTGTATGGGCACCTTTAGACTTATAATTACATGCCAGTGAATGGTGAATATTTAGCATTCAGACTGACTGCAGCGTCTACCAGTCAAATCTCCGCAATTTGCAATGCATCAGTGCATCAGTCATGCCAGTGAATGGTGACTATTTAGCATTGAGACTGACTGCAGCGTCTACATGTCAAATCTCCGCAATTTGCAATGCAAATTAAGCCTCTGCACCTGCTATTCCCATTGCAGCAGGTATCCTGGCCTCCAAGAGTTCCCTGCTTCTACACTGGTGATATGCAAGTCTAAGGGTGTCTGAGGGCTAGTTCACACCAAATGCGTTCCAGATGCAGAGCAGTTACAGAACACATTAAAAATGCGTCCAATGTATTCCAATGGTATTTTGGGCTCTAGTTCACGCCGCAGCGTTCAGTTCCAGAGCATGTAAAAAGACTGCAGCAAGCCCTATTTTTCCTGCTCTGGAACACTCTGTAATGCATGCAAATGCATCAAAAACCCATGCAAACCGGAACATGCTGAAAAAATATATATATGTCAAGCTAAAAAAAATATGCATTTTTCTTACAAAAATGGTCAGAATGTGGCAAATTACACTGCACTGCATGTGCAGAAACTCATGCAGATCTGGTCTGCATTTGGTGTGAACAAGCCCTGAAGCACAGCTACAGATAGACAACTGAAAACACATATACTGTACATTGGTGTTTTACATGCCAAGGAATTTGTGGTTCTCTTCAGCCAGTCTTTTAAATTGCTATACCTTGGCCACACTTAACAGCTGGGAAGATCATGCTACTATGTACTGGTTTATCTTTACTGCTTTCTGGATCAATTCCCTGTTAAATAGACAAAATTGATTATGCTGATTAAATGCTGTAAGAATATTAAAACCTCCCCACTCCACCAGGACTAGACATCTCTCATATGGTATAGCTGTACTAATCAATACATACAAGCACCAAATAAAGTAGAAAAGGTACCTTGTACACACTATGCATATCAAACTCTGTTCATATTTATTTTTGTATAATATATATTTATTATTTTTCAATACATAACAATATAAACATATAAACATCATGCTAAGAGACTCTCCCAAGAGGAAAACCAGCCAAAAATAAAGAACAAAAGAGAAAAAAAATATTTCTAAATATATATACAGTATAACAGATGATGCTATCAAAGCCCCTGACCATAAAGGAGGTCCATTATGTGGAAGGGCTCTTGATAGCATTGTATGGTATATGTATTTATTAAAAAAGGTAAACACAGTTTAATACACAATTTTTATTACACATGCAAACATGCCTTTTCTTTTTTATTTGGTGCATGATGATGCTGAATCCTTGCTAAATGAAAGCGGGTGGTTGAGAGGTGATCTAGGAAGCTGAATTTGTGAACCAAATAAAAGTAAAAAATATGTATCAACTCAAAGTATAATAAACGTGTGAATATCACAACAATGTAAAAGTAAAAACTTTTAAAGCATACTGTATATGTATATGAACTGTCTATGTAGAGGTTTATCTGAAATTCTGCATTAACCTTCCAACTATTCCTATTTGAAGACATGCTAGGAAAAATATGTTAGTATGTACTTAATTTCTAATTATGCCTACCCAATGCTAGTTGGGATGTTGTTGTTATCTTACAAAAATAAAGCAAATTTACTAGATGCCACATAATGTGAAGTAATGACCATATGTTTAATAGCTTGGTATTTCCTGTTCAGGAAAAGTATGGCAGACTGAAACATCCATGGTTTCTTCTGTCTCTAGAGGACTCCAGTGGTGAGATCTCAAAGCATAGCTTTAAATCCTTAAAATTTTGAGTGTTGCCATTCACCTTGATGCCCTTAGTGTTCCCACCCACTCTGGGGTCTTGAGTGTTCCCACTCATCTTGTTTTATTCCCCACAATAGCAACTGCAATAAAAAAAAATCCAACTGGATAGGCAGTCTTATCAGGTGTGTAGATCCAGGATCTCAAGTGAAGTTTGTCAGAAAAAAAATGTTAAATGATTTACCATAATCTACCAAAGCTGAAATATCATTTTTTTGTGAACTGACGCTTTGTCCATAGCCACATTTTGGAGTAGATGAGAATCTCCCAACAAACTAGTTTTGGACCACTTCAGTATTTTAGGTGATCAGACCTTTCATAAAAAGTCCTTAAATGGTGCAACATTAACTGGGTCACTCACTTTCAATTCCATACATTACTGACTATGCTCTTAGAGAAAACATTTAAGTAGTTCTATTTCACATCTGGTTTACTGACTGGATTGTAGAACTTTCTATGTGAGCTTATGTAATTATGCGTGCACCTCATTATTGAAAAATTAAAATTTTATGATCCCTGATTTACCACTGCAAAGGAAGTTGTACAGACCAGATTGACTGGAAAGAGGATGCATTCTTGCCTTGTGGCTCTCTGAAATTCCTGCAAGCGATGACTGCAAGGGAAGGATCATAATCCATTTGAATCAGTCAGAGTTAGGGATAGCATTAGGAACACATAATGATTTACTTGCTTTCGTGATTTGCTTTTAAAACACTGTTATATTTATTTTACAGCGGTACCTAGAACCAGTGCAACCCAATGTAGCTCAGTGCCAGAGCCACGTTTTGGAAAAAGGATTGGAAATGACTTTGCTGTTGGATCTGTGGTTTTCTTTGAGTGTAACCCAGGATATATCCTCTATGGATCCATGTCCATCAGATGCGATACAGTGCCTAATGCTTTGGCTCAGTGGAATGACACTTTACCAACGTGCATTGGTGAGTGATCTACAGCTACAAGTTTGTGTCAGCGTTGAAAGGATGATGTAATGGCCTGCCATTTTGTATTGTTATTACAGACTGTTAAAATAATAATTCAAACAAGTAATTTTTATTACAGAAAAGCAAAATTAGACTTCTTCCGAGTAGGAGTCTGTACCAAAATGTCCAGTTAATTGCGTGTGTTACTTTGACATCCAAGCAGAGTCAACATACCAAAGAAATAAATCGCTATCCTTTTACCATACAGCTGTCTTTGATTCATGTAACAATATTTGACATATGGCTCATTGTGAACAAGAAAAAAAAGGAAACAAGATGGTATTTAAGAATAAGACACTGTGTTCTGTAAAATATAAAATATCAATCTTAGTTCATTTCAGGACTACGTGTGATATAAATAGTTTTAGTGCAAAGAAACTTTCATAAAGAGTGATTATCTGAGATGTTCTCTAAGATACGTCTTTCATTGAATATAAGGACAGATTTATTGTTTTTTTAATGACATATTCAAAGAAATATCTTTCAATTTCTGAAGAGAAGCCTACTTTTAAGACCAACTCCAGGCACAAGAATATGCAGTGCTTCCCCCTGCCCCTGCACTGCAAGGGTTAAATTATCATTAACTCTAAGGATGGGCAGGATAAAGAACAGCCAGCACCCCTGCCAACTCCACATTCACTTCAGGGTTAAATGATGGTGCAGAGGGATTATCCACATCAGGGAGCATCAGGAAGAACAGGAAAGCACAGCAGCCTGCCGGGACAGGGACTGAGATAACTAGTACTGCCTTTTTATCTTCCCGCTTGACTTAATGAGCATCTAACATTTGCAGTGCAAGGGGCCCCCACTGCACAATTTTTTTCTCCATCCTAGAGTTGGGTTTTAGTCTTACCAATGAAGTTTTTAGAATTTTTTATGGTATATATTAGGGATGCACCGATACGATACTAGTATCTGTATCGGTATCAGTGCCGATGGCGAGCATGTGGGCGAGTACTCGTATTCGCCCAAATGCTCCGATGCCTAGCCCGATGCTTCCTGTGTCAGGAAACAGGGCAGCACATCATTACATGCTGCCCGGCTTCCTGATTGGCCGGGAAGCCAGCTCCATGCTCCCTCGTCACTTGACATGCTGCCTGGCTGATTGGCCAGCTTCCCAACCAATCTGGCCAGCTACCCGGGCTTTCTGATTGGCTAGGAAGCCGGCTTCATGCTCCCTCATCACCTCATGACCACGTCATTGAACTTCAGTACACTACAGCTTCCTGATTGGCCAGAAAGCCGGCTCCATGCTTTCTTGTCCCATAGTGATGAGAAGCATGGGGGTTGGCTTCCTTGTTAATTGGGAAGCCTGGTGGCGAGTCTTTACACGCCACCCGGCTTCCCGACTAATCAGGAAGCCAGGTGGCGAGTCATTACACACCTCTTGGATTCCTGAATGGGACTTATGGTACTTGGTACCCGGTATTCGGTATCGGAGAGTACCGGAAAAAAAATATCGGTACTTGTACTTGAAACCGAAATACCGGTATCAGTGCATCCCTAGTATATATAAGAATGTTCATTGTTTTGGGCATGTAAAACCACAAACAATAAACTTTTCTTATTTACTCCCTTTTAGTTTGTTTAATATACCATTCACATCATTTTGTTTAAAAAAAAGCTGTTGATCCTTCTAGAAATCTAGTGAGCTCCTAACTCCCTCCTAACTGACTGTTAACAGTTAGCTGTATTATGAGTTCTCTCTGTGGACTACATAATTCCCTCTCTTTGTTATAGAAATGAGTGAAGGAAAATTATGTGTTTTGTAGACCTAGTACATTTTTTGTCCTAGATAAAAGGTTCTTAACATTATGCATTGTCCAATACTGTATGTCCCCCTACAACATTCACCAAATTGGTAAAATCATCATCATCACCAGTGCTATTATGGTAAATAGCTTGGTTTTACTTTACATATAGATAACTTAGAGCGGAACAGCTGAAAGAAAATAATTTTAACACAAAATAATTTTAACATAAAAATGCAATTCACAAACACACACACTAAATACAGCAAGTGAGATTTTTGCTGTTGTTTTTGTGCAATCACAACATGTATTCCAGGTACAGTTACTGATACTGTTACTCACATGTCAGCAAACACATCAAGTTAGTTTCTCCACTTTGATTTTAGGTTCAGTACTCTAGAGAATTCAGTTTAAGTTTTTTTTTTACTATTTAGAGATTAAGTCCCATTCCCCTGTTATTTGATTCCCATACTTCTGGCTAAATGTTATTAAAAAAGAAAACAAAACTGCCCAAGGAGTTATAAACAAAAAGTTGCTCAGGCTGTGATACTTACCACGTCTCTTATTCTGTCCCCACAGTGAATAATTTCTGACAATAGATGTCCTCAGTCTTTGAGGATAAATTACACCATGTATAATTCAACCTAGAAGTCCTAAGGACATCCTAGGAGTGCATGGTGTTATGGACCCACTGTCCACGGGGGCATCACTTCGGTGCCCTACACTCACAATGTAGTGATGCAAAGACCCTGCTGATGTAGTCAGTGTATAGCTCAGTGCATCAACACATGTGAAGTTGAAGAGTATCTGGCTTACCATAAATGGCCTGCAGTAATGATCTTACTGCACTCAGATATGGTTATTACATTTTGCCAGCAGCACTAGAATTTTTTGCTGTGCTACAAAAAGTGTTTATTTTCCAAACTATCATTTAAAGAGACTTCCTAGGCATCTCATAAAAAAATATATGAAAACAATCAATTGAATTTAATTAAAAATACTTCATCACGCTGCCCTGCGCTGAACCATTTCTGCTTCTGATGAAATGCTTAAAATCCAAATCAGCCAAAATCAGCCATTAAAGAACAGTTCAGTCAATAAATAATTTTACAGAAGGTCAGAAAACAGTTTAACACATGCAGAATTAGAGGATAACAGGGTTACAGCAACAGTAGTAGTAATATGGTAGATAGTGACGTTTACCCAATGCTATCTTAATGTGAAATTGTGGGCAATATAACAAAAAATTACATATAATGCAGTCTGTCAATTACCTCTCGTAACATTTTGGAAGTTAGCAAAGGACAAAATTGTCTGAACTAGTAGATGTTATTCCTAATTTTTGACTGTCAAGTGGTTTGTTCTCTTTATTTGTGATATTGTCACGTGCCTTGGTGGCAGTGGCGACTCTAGGAACAATATATAGGGGGGGCACATAAGATACCACAGTCAGATCTGGGGGGGCACTAATAATTCTCATTGCATGTCGCAACCGATGGGCGCCGAGAGCTGATTTAATTGCGGATGGCAGTTGCGACAGAAGCTGCATACAGCGTGTGCTGGTTACTACTTAAACCGGTGCGCTGTGTGCAGCTTCTGAGAAGATACGCTATTAGCATAGCGGGAAAGCTGGATGCGCATTTTGCATATTGCCAAAGGCTGAATAGGGGTCCGACGCTGGGATGGGGGAATCCTTTGCAGAGATCAGTACAGTAGCAGCAAGCAGGTGGTGCCAAAGGCTGAATAGGGGCCCAACGCTGTGGTGGGGGCGAGGGAAGCCTTTGCAGAGAACAGCTGCTGTCCTCTGCAAAGGCTTGGCATACCACCAGGGCTGATCAGATGTCTCCTTATACGCTCACTCCATTTATACCACCCATTTCAAGAAAGACATGATAGCATGATTGAAAAAATTAATTGAATACATGATTGAAAAATTCATTTGGGTTCATTCAAAAGTGGAGGGACATAGGCTTTGCTCACTCCACCTATGAACATCCCATTCAAGAATACATGATAGAATGGTCAATTAATAGCATGAATAGAATGATAGATACATGAATAAAGATGGTTGAGAATGGTGGAGCGAACGTTTCGCGCTCAGAGGCGCTTCTTCAGGAGTTGAGGAGAATCAATTTAGCAGGCTGACGTGCGTGTATCCAAGACGACCTCAACCGGGCAGTACACCGAAACAGTCCTCCTAGGGGAGATGAACGAGGACCAAACCCTGTGCGGTACTGGGTACGGGTGGCTCGGAGGTGTTTGGAGGACAGGAGTCCCTGTGCGTTTGTGTGAGGCAGTGTCTAGGTGAACAAGTGACCCAAATCCTGCGGTTCTTTACTCCATACAAGGCTTCCCTATTATTCTATGCCTGCCACCTCAAACTGCTCGACACAGGGTTTGGTCCTCGCTCCTCTCCCCTGGGAGGACTGTTTTTGGGGTGTACTGCCCGGTTGGGGCCGTCTTGAATACACGCATGTCAGCCTGCTAAATTGATTATCTCCATCTCCTGAAGAAGCGCCTAAGCTCGAAACGTCGAGACAAATATTCGCTCCCCCATTCTCAACCATCCTTATTCATTTATCTATTATTCTAATCATGCTATTAATTAACCATTCTATCATGTATTCTTGAATGAGATGTTCATAGGTGGAGTGAGCAAAACCTATGTCCCTCCACTTTTTAATGAACCCAAATTAATTTTTCAATCATGTATTCAATGAAT